TGTGAAACTAACCTGGTAGAATTGTCACAGAAATGGCTTTTTTTTGACCAGGTTAGGATAAAAGGCCTATAATTAGGGGCCCAAGGGTGTGGAGATAGATTCCTTGGGGCACATCATGTCAGCTCTGATAGTGGATTAGAACATTTGGACTGACAGCACTATCCATCATATACTGACAGCCAGATCATGTGACTCAAGCTCAAGTTGCTGGGAAATATTCAAAATGGGGCCCACAAAAAGGGATTTATATTTCATTTATTGCAACAGGAAAATGTCCACATGTTTGTTACTTAGAGAAATAGTATTGTATCTAAAATTTGTAGAAGGACATTTTTAGTTTGATGATATAAATGAATTTTAGCTATGAAATAAAACAAAAGTTTACAACTGCAATCAGAATTTATGAAAGCAAAAATCAGGTATATGTATATAACTAATACGTAGACTTCAGGACTATTTTAAAACTGATTTATGCGCTTTGTAATGCTTATATGTTGTTAAAATTTTCATTTTGTTTGCATCCATAAATTTTGTTTTGAAAAATAAAAAACAACAGAATTGTTTCCGTAATGATGGAGAGATATATATAAGCAGTGTTACTCATAAGTAATGCTACCCAAAATTGTTTCGGGAATACGACTACCAAAGTTTGTGCCTGCTGTGTGCTTCATCATTATCATGGAGAGAAAAAATACAGGTGAACAGTCGTGTTAATGATACAAGATACGCTGGAGGAAAAAGGAAAAAAAGAAAGAAACGACTTCAAGAAGCATTAAATAATAATGATGAATTGAGCGATGAGTTTTGAAGTTGAGTTAATTGGGGTGCTTTGCCAGCTGCTCCTGCGTATTGCAACATTTTACGGTAATTTCAGATTCTAAAATCACGTCAGCAATTCTGTTTGCCATTGACCAGCAATCCTATAAATATTTCTATTTCATAATTGGTATGCCTCCTGCAGAGATGCTGGTGATTTAAATAATTGACTACTTTGTAAATATTAGAATAGGAAGGTTATAGGCAACAGACTTGCGAAATGATCTGAATCGGAGTAAAAAGAACCTCGGTATTCTTAGAGGGCTTATTGCAAAGTGTTTGATGTGATGTTATTAAAAATGTTCCAATTAAGTAGGGATTCCAACTTATTGTTTATGATACTGTTAGAAAAAAAAGGTTGATATTGATAAGAATTACAATCGTACGAATTAGAAATTGACTGGTTTATGTGAAAAATTGACTGATTTATGTGTAATGAAATTAAGAATTCTTTAAGACTGAAAACGTTTGAGATTAAGCTGTGTGCAGTAAAGACACGGCAGTTTGTATCGTTAATTGGTATCACTGGTGAATCTGTGTTAGATTTTATCTGCGATTCAAATGGGTTGTTAACAGTGGATTTAATCAACGTTACATTCCTCAAGCTGGTGGCTGTTACTTTGATACGACTCACGGAAATGCTTGGAGTTCAATTCCTCTAAGGGTTGGGTTGATATTTTATTAAACCTAATGAGCTATTGAAATATATGTCTTGATTAATGCAAGGCTGTATTGTTACTGATCATGTCCTCGTTGAATCCCTTCACGATCTTCCGGGATCTTCCTTGGTAAGAAAGGAGAATGCATATAACCTTGAAATCGGAACTTAAGCTTAAAACTGGAGAACATTGAAATTGCATACTGTGTATAGTTGTGAATCTTGTCCCCCTGGGGCCTGGTACAAACACAATCTCACTGTACAATAAAATACTGCTAAGTTATTGGGATCCACAGGGAATAGTCATTCCTCGTTGATGTGAAATTGCATGGAAGCATTTTGTGAATGTGGGAAATTTTGAGTTTTTTTGAAAACTGGAATGTCTATTATTTGTGCTTATGGCTATGTTATATTGTGTTGTTATTGGATGGTTTCCTAAATAATTCCACGCTGGTTATTGGTTTCGATGAATTTATTTTCGAATCTTTCACATAGAATGTCTGTGATAGTTTCCAATGTGATGTCAGTTCAGCTAACATATTGATAACATTCACATACATTTGCACTACTTGCATTCAAGGACGTGCGGTCATATATTTAATGCCAGTTACTTATGATGGACATTTCACATGCTGCGAAGATTGTTTTGTCTTTGAAAAGTTTGTCTAAAATAATGTTTAAAGAAGAAAGTATATACATGTTAATGTAAATGAGACATGAATTGTCCAACCTTTCTGCGGTTTGAAATAGTGTTCTCTCAAGCCAAATTTGTGAAAATTAAATTTGTGAAAATTAAATTTGTGAAATTGTTAGTGTTCTACTGTAAGGCCAGTTAGGAGGATGATGGAGTGTTAACTAAAATCAGGTACGATGTCTGTCTATATACATAGTTATGGCCCTTTGTTCACTGTGTTCACTGATTGGGGAGGGGGGGTGTACAATTTTCACCTACGACTGCCAAGACTTGCATGTGATTACATTTTAAGTGTCACTTACTGAAGCTGGGTCCCGTTATAAACAGAGTTATGGCCCCTTGTTAGTGTATGATACCAATGTTTGGTTGGAGATGGGGACTTTTAGATTGCTTGCAATACATTGCCTTGTTTTTAATAGGTAGAAATTGTTATTTTATGATAATACTCTCAGTAGATCACCTTCAGTGTGGGTCGTGTCCTGTGGTGGTAGATAAATTTCCCTGTGGTGAGCCCCGCTGCTATTTAATTGCCTTAGTCTCACATCACCTGTGCTGGTATACACAAAGTAACAGTGAGAAGGCTTAAATTACACACACAAATATCACACCAGTAAACCACAATACACTTCTCTCCACATATTTCAAATGTTCCACTTTCTGCAAATGTCAACATCCAAATTTTTGAATGTCACAGAAGGTAAAATAACAAAGTCTTTGTAGACAAAGTTTTTCAGAACGTCTGCTACTGATGGGTTAAATATTGAAATTATTCTTTTTAAAAACTTATGAAATATTGACTTTATTTTGTAATTCATTCATTACAAAGAGATAGGCCAGGGGATAGCTTTTTTTTAGAATAAATTCAAATATTGCCCAGAAACATATTCGTCATAGTAGCTTAGCTATAATGTGCAAGATATGTATCTATTATAAATGTTGTCGTAGGTAGATAAGGTAAAGGCCAGAGGGTAAGATACTGTGCAAGAGCTGTTAAGGTGTTAGACTTAGCATCTAATTAGGTACGGTTTAAGATGTTAATTTTATTGAGGCCTTCGATAAGATCCTCCTCCGATAGGGGTTTTCAGTGAAGGCAGATCGTGATAAGACTTGAGAGTTTTTTTACGGTAAACAAAGCGGAGATATTATCAGGTGTGAGGTGTGTGTATTGTAGAGGTGATCTGGTGGTGAAATTTGTATGTTAAGGTGGTGCACATGTTTTCTGTCAAGCAGGCCTAATGGGTACTTATCCAGGCACAAACCATTCATTACACAGGCCAATTAACTAGCAAAGCTACAGCCTGCATTTCACACGAATCACTTGCATGAAAATTTAATTCCCACCAGAGAAACATAAAAAGTGTATTTTCTCCGGTAGAGCCACATGGCCAGTAGTGAGGATGTGTTTTTGTGTGTGTTGCGTACTTTGGTATAATAACAGAACTCAGCAGACACTTTTTGCTGATGCATTGTTAGCTTAAATTTTAAAGCGGAAATGAATGAAATAATTCATAAATTATTGGAAAATGTGTTAAATTTCAATATTTTTGTATCAAACTTGAAGTGTAAAATTGGTAAAAGACTGACTATCTTCGAGTTGAAAGCAGTGCAAGTGAAACAGTGGTAATTTGTGTGAATCGTCTATGATGTCTGCGTGTAAAGCCCCGGGCAGCCTTGTTAGCGTTAAACAGGGCCAAAATCTTGTCAAATATGATTTATTTTTCCATGCTACATTGCAGAATGGATGTTTGGAGTTGCTAGTTATTCCTTCTCATTAAAATTTATACACCATTGTGTGCAAATGGAGAGGGACTTACTCCTAGGTATTCAAGCCGTTCAGCGAGCTAATTCAATGGATTTGATGCACATCATACAGTTATAAATAATTTCAGCTATACACATAACGAAGTATTTGTTGCCAAGTGATTTGGTACGAGTATTCACTTGTAGATGAAAGGCGGTGAATGTAGTTCTAATGTAGGGCTTGTTGGCAGGCAATTAAAAACACATCTCTGCAATTCTATTAATTAAAGATTGAAAGTGACAATTTCAATTAGGATAATGGCGCTACCCATGATGCTGCTCTAAACACATTAATCTCTGTCTCCTCGGTGCTTAGGTATATAGACCATCGTCTGAATGCTGATAATTGTTCACGATCATGGCCTCTGTGTACAAATATTTATTTTTCCAGTTCAGTTTTCCAGTCAATGTGTCGTTTAAAACAAATTTTGTAAATTTCTTTTCACCATTTATACTGAATCGGTTCAGGGATCATTAAAATACATTTAAAAAGAAATCGTTCTTGCCATTACAACTAATGACATAGAATAATCGACTTAAAATGACTTATTACCCCAGAAAGTGATATTTACGCGAGTATGTGAACTCGATGACTTTTGCCTACATCAGGCATTTTCACATGCTCTCGTCGTCTCCTCACAGTAAATGTAACGAAATAAATATGTGGTACATTGTAACACATGACTAAAGTCACAATACATTTTATGTGAAAATATAATATATTATTTAGTGATTGCTATAAGCCATATTAAGCCTGATTTTGTTAACCTTTTCACCACTGTAGACCATAATGGACTCATCAAGATAAATGCATGGTAGAGTCTACTAAAGTTACATAGGGGTGAAAGGGTTTGTGATTTTGGCTATATTGTGTTGACATGATGTTACATGCTGATCTTTTATTCCATTTCAAATCTTACGTAGAAATCTTGTGGATGCTTTCTTTATATGATGGATAGTTTACTGTAACTCCTTAAACCTTGATGATAATACTTTGATATTAAAGTTGCTCTTCTCTTTCTGTACTTGCAGGTTTCCAATTGGTTTGGCAACAAGAGGATCCGCTACAAGAAAAATATAGGTAAAGCACAAGAGGAAGCCAACCTGTACGCTGCCAAAACAGCTGCTGCGGCCGCAGCCGTGGGTCACGACGGGCAAGGTAGTGATGGCTTGTACCAGGATTACGATGATGATGTGTTGTAGGGTTGTAATACCCTAAACCACTGTTGTACAAATCGTAATAGGGGGGAATATAACTCTACACAAATCATTTATCTTCTACCAAATAACGGGGGGGGGGATGTTTTTCATGAACGAGTAATGTTTTGTTTGTCACTTGTGGTCATCAGTTTATGATAGCAAAGATAACAAGGGGAGGTAACTGGCTTATTAAATCATCACTAGAAATGTGATGTAATTATATGCCGGTGTTTTAGGATTAAATATCTCGTCACAAGACACCTAAGTAACATATTTAATATAGTATACATATGACAATATACATTTAGGTGTTTGACAAAAACAAAGCTGGAAAAAAAGGAAATGGCTCTAAAATCGAAGTTTGATTAGAGTAATGAGACGTGTCTTTTAAAAAAATAAAAATAGTCCAATTGGTGAGATTTCCTTTTGGTAGCAGCTGTACCTTTTGGGGAAGGGGCAGGTAGATATTTAGTCAATGAAATATGCTGAGGGACGGAATAAATGCTGCTCCAGTTTGGTCACTGACATCCAGAAGGTTTTGGCATCAATATAGAAATGCTGATAACGTTGATGTGTGTCAAGCTGTTTTAAATTTACGTAGTGGTTCTTGTGCTTTGCAAATGGTTAACTCTACGCATGTAAAATTTTGCATTATTTTCCATTGCAAAGTGTTGTGATCTGTTAGGGGGAAGAAAGTGCGTAGTTGGTTCTAGTCTACTGTTCTTGTGTCGTGCTGTTCTTTGTGTTTATGGAATGGACGGAGGAGTTAAAGGTCAAGGTCATCTAGCCATTCAGTTCAAGGTCAACGTTCACGTAGTTTCGATGATTTATGTAGCTTCGGCATCTATAGAGGTTGAAGTGCTTTGTCAGAGGGTAAGATATTGGCATTCAAAGATTGTGGCATCATTAAGCTCATATATTTATATATATATGTGTGTGTATGCTGCTTGACACATATGCTTTTCTATTATCATTATCTCTCTCCGATTCTTAACAATTTTTCTAAACATAACATTAAGTTCAGTTATCTTCTTTTCCTTAAGTTTACGTACTCTGGATTAAGTTATCTCTTGACTTTGAGAAAACATTTATAGAAGATGATTTGATTGAGAGAATTTGAAAGGAACACATATTTTAAATTAAACAAACAATTAACATCTTACTTTTAATTGCTTCATCGATATTTTACTTTTTTTTTCTTTCTCTTTAATATTTTGGTTTACAGTAAATGGAAATGTTTTTGTTATGATTTGTATGTAAAGTGGATTTTACTTTGATTTGATACTGACTTTATTACGCTTGCGTGTTTTCTGCTGCTTTTGGAATACTTGTTGATAGCAATATTAATAATTTGTGTTGTTCGCTCTCAGCTTCCATCTATACGTATACTCTGAAAAACTATACATGAAATATTTGATTTATGTTATATTTTCTCTCCTGTTGGGATACCTATGAAACTCGAATTTGATTTTGAAAGTAGGGATTCTATATACAGAATCAGATTCACTTGTGAACATGGTTGATATCTTACAAACTTCTAGATACTTTTTTGTTGTACAGAAAATGGGTGAAAAAAAGAGAGAAAAATGTAGTTTCATATTCATTAATGATCATGGGAATGCTAGAATACGGTGAAATATTTAATTGACAAATTTATATAATATTATTGTATGTATAAAGGAAAAAAGACATGTATTTAATATGTATATCACATTTTTTCTTGCCAAAAAAACACATATTGTGTATTTTGAAAACTGCATTGGTGCATTGGATGTATTGTGAAAGCTGTTTTTTTTTTTTTTGAGATGGTCATTTACAAATTAATTATAAATATCATATTTGACCAGGTAAACCCATGACTTTACCTCAGGTGTGAGTTTCCATAATTAGTGGTCCCCGTTTTTTTTAATCAATCTGAACTGGACACTGTCCAAACTGGGTTTTGTGAAAATTGGCAAAATGTTTATACTTCTATTAATACCTTGAAACATGTTCAACCTACACATTTCGGATACATTTCTAATCAAAGTATAAGGCCTTTAAAAAATTTCCAATTTAAATCTCAGTGTCCATTTAAATCTTTTGTCTTCTTGTTGTTGATTATATGTGTAAATGTGAAAGAAATTAAGTCCTGCATTAAGAAAGTATGTCGTACTAAGTGCCAACACTATCGAAGAGCAGAGGTATGAGGTTTTCCTGGTCAAATACGGTATGTTTTGTGTATCATCTGTGTACCTGTAGATGGTGTGATTCAGACAGCTTGTTATTTGTGTATTATTTGTAGTCATATGATAACAACAAATCGTATGTATTTTTTTTCTTTTGAAAACAAAAGTAATTCAGTTGTGTCATTTGTAAACGTTTGAGAAAAAAAGATTGTGTTTTTTGTAATGTAACGTTTGCATGGAAAGATATACCTCATTTTACTGAAAATTTATGAAAATAAAATCTCCTGAAGATTGAAAGTCCATCTTAGTGTGATCTTTTGACTTTTAGCTATTAACACTACTTAATGACAAGCTGTCTATCAAGACGCAGAGTTACTTCCCTTTATCCATGAGTTATGTCCCCTGCAAATGAATTTGCTTCTATACTACTATGTTTTCTCTCATCAAATATGTGTTTTAAAAAATGGTTTCATCCTAAACCAAACTTAAAGACAGGTGTCAATAATTGATGTCTTTCCACTTTGTTATCTAATAACTAGAAAAGGTGGAAAGACTGGAGTTGTTCATAAGACAAAGAAATAATATTTAGTCATTCATCAGACAGACAAATTCATTCATTAGAAAGAAGAAACCTTAGTCATACAGAGAAAGGATACAAGTCATACATTGAGAGAGACTAGTCTTTCATAATGGACTGGGGATTGACACAAGTCATTCTATGACAGAGAAATATAATAACTTGTTCATTTGAACAGAGGAATGATACAAGTCATTTTTTTATAAGTAAGACAAGTCAGTTGTGGAGAGAAAGAAGAGAGACCTTCATACTGGAGAGTCAAGTCAAGTCATTCGATAGAAGTGAGATGAGTCCTTCATTGGGATAGATGAATGAGATGAATCATTCATTAGACAGAAAAAAGAGGTTTGTTAGAGAAAAGAGACCTGAGACGTTTGTTAGAAAAAAGATTTAAGTATAAGGTATGGAATCTCAATTCTCAAATCTTCAGACACACGCAAGTAAGGTGTTGACTGCATGAATAAGATTGACCAAGCATAGCCTGGACAAATTTGTTTTACTAAGGGGACATAACCACATGTGATCAAATGGAATAGTGCCATAATAATGTAATTTGACTTTGAAATATGCAATAATAAACAAGAATATTTTTTACTGCAACATTATTTTGAAATTGTGTAACCAAGAAACGTGTTGAAGTTTTTTGAATCAACAATTTGGATAATGTGTAATAGAAGTGAAAGAGCTATATCTTCATAAATCCAATGCACCATTGCCTATTTCATGTATACTATATGTGATGCAAAAGCAAGGATTTGTCTGCAACTGATGATTTTCTACAATGCAACAAACATTTTTTGTTTCTGTACATCAAATCTTCTCCTTGGTAATCCTAATAGGTAACTCCAATACCAAAATGATGTTTGATGGTGAGCATCCAAACTCTTCTGGCTAAATATCGTGTTGAATTGATTGTGTTCAACATCACATTTCTTTCTATTTCATTTTGATTTATTGGTTGTCTGGCAAATGATGCTAAAAACTTTATTTTGATCAATAAGGCACATATTCCTTTACAAATGGAAGGATTAGACTTCATGCTGTATTTGTACAAGGAAATTTCACCCAATAAGATATCAGACAAACTAAATATATCAAGCTGATAACCATATCAAACTCTCAGGAGATGCCATACATAGCACACTCTAGCAAAGAATGACCAATCACAGCATACTCTAGCAAAGAATGACCAATCATAACATACTCTAGCAAAGAATGACCAATCATAGCATACTCGAGCAAAGAAATGACTGTCAAAGCACACTCTAGCAAAAGGATGACAACCAAAGCACACCCTAGCAAAACGATGACAACCAAAGCACACCCTAGCAAAACGATGACAACCAAAGCACACCCTAGCATAGAGATGACAAACCAAAACACACCCTAGCAAAACAATGACAACCAAAGCACACCCTAGCAAAACGATGACAACCAAAGCACACTCTAGCAAAGAGATGACTACCACTAACACAGATAAAAACCATAGCACACTCTAGAAAAGGGATGAATACCAAAGCACACTCTAGCAAAGAGGTGACAACCAAAGCCACTCTAGCAAAGATATGACAACCAAAAAACACTCTAGCAAAGATATGACAACCGAAGCACAATCAGCAAAGAGATGACAACCAAAGCCACTCTAGCAAAGAGATGACAACCAAAGCCACTCTAGCAAAGAGATGACAACCAAAAAACACTCTAGCAAAGATATGACAACCAAAGCACAATCAGCAAAGAGATGACAACCAAAGCCACTCTAGCAAAGAGATGACAACCAAAGCCACTCTAGCAAAGATATGACAACCAAAAAACACTCTAGCAAAGATATGACAACCAAAGCCACTCCAGCAAAGAGATGACAACCAAAAGACACTCTAGCAAAGAGATGACAACCAAAAAACACTCTAGCAAAGATATGACAACCAAAACACAATCAGCAAAGAGATGACAACCAAAGCACACTCTGGCAAAGAGATGACAACGAAAGCACACTCTAGCAAGAGATGACAACCAAAGCACATTCTAAGAAAGAATGACAACCAAAGCACAATCAGCAAAGAGATAACAACCAAAGCACACTCTAGCAAATTAGTACAATCTAGCAAAAAAGATGACAACCATAGCACACTCTAGCAAAAGATGACAACCAAAGAACACTCTAGCAAAACGATGACAACCAAAGCACACTCTAGCAAAGAGGTAACAACCATT